GTCAGTCATCAAGGGAGCAAAAAAGTGGAAGTTCTTAGGAGGAGGTAACAAAAGGGCTAGAATTTTGAATCCATAAACTTTAAATTCTAGCTCCGCTTCTGCTGCTGCTACTACTAAACTTAAAATTATGATAGGGATTGCAATGAGATAAGGTTATCCACCATAGACAAGTGAAGAATCCCCACGTAGGACATAAAGAAGAGATGTGCAACACCAATTGCCCCATTTTCCACCTCTCATATCTTAATGGCTCTCAAAAGCACAACTTACATATATCAACAAACAACACAAGAATATAGAGACATAGAACAACTCAAAAGAAGAAAAATTAAGGCAAAATAATAATAATGGCTTCTACTTCTTCAATAGTTTCAATGGCAATGCCACTAACTTACACATCCCAAAACAAGCAACCAATTGTTGAAGCTTTTTTCAAGCCATTGCCAATTAGACCTTCAAAACAAATTACAACTTCAAAAAAGTTTGTAGTCATCAAGGCCACTTCAATTAAGGAAAAGGCAATGGTAGGGTTGACAACAGGTGTACTCACAGCATCAATGGTTGTACCTGATGTAGCACAAGCTGCTGAGGGTTTGTCACCATCACTCAAGAACTTCTTGCTTAGCATTGTGTCTGGTGGAGTTGTGCTTGGTGCTATTATTGGTGCTATTATTGGTGTCTCCAATTTTGATCCTGTTAAGAGGGGTTAATTTTGTGTGCTTTCTTTCTATATAAATGATATTGTTTGGTTTTCAAGTATGATTTTGTGTATGTTTAATTCCTTTTAGCTTATTTTTTGGTTTAATCATCTTGGTATTCGAAATAGTAAAGGCTCGTCATAGTGCTGTTAATAGGCTCTATTAAGATAGCGCGAAAGAGTTTACTATATAGTTAATTCACATTTGGAATGTTTAGGATTCACTAAAAGAAGCGATTCATATCATGATTTTTTTCATTTATACAACTCAAACCTAAGATATGTATGTCAATTTTACTAGATATACATGATTCTCGTACATCTTATCACACTACTCGGTGGTAATTCCTTGGTTGTAATTTTGCTAGAAATATGCGAATGCTTTAATTTTGATTTGGGATTAGTGTGCATACACTAAAAGCAGTGGCGGAGCTACGTTGAAGCAAGGGGGTTCATATGATACCTCTTGTTCAAAAATTTAGTGTCTATTATAAGACAAAAATAATAAAATGCAAGGAATAAGTTGTACCTAGTTTTAAAAAAATGTTTTGTACAGTGAGTGAAGTAAAATAAAGGTATCATGAGTGAAACACCTAGTGAAAGTCAAACTTCACGCATTAAAGGTACCATGAGTGAAACACTATGTCAAAGTTAAATTTTTGAAATTGTCAAGCCAAACTTCAGATAAAAATATCTGAATATGATATTTTTAAGCTAAATTTCAGATAATAATAATTGAAGTTTGGTCTTGCCAAGCCCACAACTTTAGACGAAAACAAAACTTCTGAAGTTGTTTTTAATTACCAAGGCCACATTCACCACAAAATGTCTGAAGTTAGGCATTGCCAAGGTCACAATTCCAATAATTTTGAAGTTGGCCTTGATTAGCTATTATATATATATTTGAACTTCAGTAAAAAATGTTCAAAGTTTGACCTAAAGTCCACAACTTCAGTAAAAAAATGTTTAAGGTTAACTTTGAAAAATTATTATATATCTGAAGTCTTGTCAAGGTCACAACTTCAAGCAAAAATATTTGAAATTTGGCTCTGTCAAATCCACAAATTCAATTAAAAAAATGTAAGTTGATCTTAATTCTTAACAAGTCAAAATGTTATTTATGAATACAGACCAAATATCCTATCATAATTACCAACATTTACAAGACTATCGCGTATATCGACCCTCACATGGTCAATCAATTCTGTTGACAACCACCATTGTTAGCTTCCGCCACACAACCAAATGACAGAATCATCAGTCATTACTACTAATTACTCTTTACTAATAGTCATCATTCGACAATTATTACCTTTGACTTTACCTATACCACCATCAATCATTACTGTCGACAACCTCCACTAACCATGACCACGTATTATTGCACGCCATCCACCACCATCAATCACCAACTAGTCATTATTGTACAATCATCACTATCTACCTCCTCCACCAATATCACCTTACTACATGAAAATTATTTTTTTTTCTAATATTTTGTGATTATAATATTTAATTAATTATATTTAAAATGTATTTCTATTAATTTTAATTTTTAAATAAAGAAAATTATACATATTTAGACATTGAAAAAATAAATAGTTTTAATTATACAAAAAATTAATCATCCATTGTTTAAATTTTGAAATAATTTTAATACTAAGAAATGCATTCAAATAATTAAATTACAAAAATAAATGTTTCATATTTCCTCATTCTCATATGCTTCAACTAGGAAGTTTTGGAGTCCCCAAACTTTGATGTACCATAGGTTCTTTCTCAACATAAAATTATGTCAACCTTACAATAAGATAACCTTATCCATCACATAGCCAATAGCCAATAAGAACCAGCCACATAGGACAAAATAAAATATGCCAACTCCAAATTTTAATTTTCCACCTCTCATTAAAAACCCTCTCTTTATCATCTCAATACAAATTCACATCATATTAACAATACCATACTCCTTTAACTTTGTTTCTGTAATTCTTGAGAGCAAAAAGGCAAAAGAAATGGCTACTTCTTCAATAGTTTCAATGGCAATGCCACTAACTTGCAAAAGCCAAAAGAAACAACCAATTGTTGAAGGTTTTTTCAAGCCATTACCAATTAGGCCTTCAAAACAAATTGCAACCTCAAAAAAGTTTGTAGTCATCAAGGCATCTTCAATTAAGGAAAAAGCAGTGGTAGGGTTGACAACAGGTGTACTCACAGCATCAATGGTTGTACCTGATGTAGCACAAGCTGCTGAGAGTTTGTCACCATCACTTAAGAACTTTTTACTTAGCATTGTGTCTGGTGGAGTTGTGCTTGGTGCTATTATTGGTGCTATTATTGGTGTCTCCAACTTTGATCCTGTTAAGAGGGGTTAATTTTGTGCCTTTTCTTTAATTGATTGTATCTATATATATGATATTGTTTGGTTTTCAAGTATTGTTTTGTCTTATGTTAACATGGACAATTTAATTCCCTAGCTTTTTTTCCCGATTTATTCATCTGATATTCGAAATAGTAAATGCTCGTAATAGCGCTCCAGTGAAACTAGGCTCTCTTAAGATCGTGTGAAATAGTTTTCTATACGACTGATTTAGATTTAGATTTGCAATGTGTAAATCTGTAGTTTTTCGCAAATTCTTTTCTTTCCTTACTTAATTCACAATGTATCTAGAAATTCTTAACATTTTTTTCTTGTGTGATCAACGGTGGTTTAATGAAAGTTGTGGTTTAAAGTTAAATCTTAATAAAAGATCTCGAATTTATGTATTTTAGTTTAACTTAGCATAAAGTTTAAAAATGTAAAATACTTTTGAATTCGATGCTCTTAAACAATAATACCATACCCTGTGTAATCCTACCAGTGAGATTTGAGGAGGGTGGTAAATACGCAACCTAACTCTACTTTATGTAGGTAGAAAAGTTATTTCCGATCAACTCTCAGCTCAATTAAGCATATCAAATTCAAGCATGAAAAATAAATATAGTAATGGAGAAGTCATGCTGAAAATAATGCTGAAGAGGAACACTAGCAACAATAAATAAAACGATTGATAATTGAAACAAATGAATCAACATGTAATAATAAAAATCGGACGATAAGATAGAAGTGTAATAATACCAAAATTGGCAAGGGAGATTAGACATTGCTCAACTATCTACTAACTTTCTACTCTAATACTCGACCTCCATATCCTCCTATTTAGAGCCTCTCCTCGGTGAGCTGCTAGTGTGCCATGTTATGCCTGAACACCTCTTCCCAAGAGTTTTTTGACCTACCTCTACTTCTCCTCACGCCTACCATAGTCAACCTCTCACACCTCCTTACTGGGACATATGTGCATCTACTCTAGACATATTCGAACCATCTCAGCCTTATCTATCTCATCTTGTCTGCCACGAGGATCACTCCCACTTGTATCTCTGTTACCATACCAAAAGTTTTGATATTTATGATCTTAAACATGTCATTCTATAAGAGTGCCATTAAGGCTAAAGCAAAAAGTAGGATTAGAAACTCATTAAATATAAAAAGATGCATTTTTTTAATTTTAAAGTAAATTCACAAAAAAAACGAGACACATAAAACGAGTATTTGTTTTTTTTTTTTAATTAAAAAGAGTATTTGTATTTTTGTATAATTACAAAATCGTGAAGATGTTCTCACTTAATTAAAAAATATCTATAAAGGTGATCTTTCTCGGAATTTCATTCACTAATACTGCCCAATCACCATTACCAATCTTAACGGGGCTATATTCAAAATTGACCACTAGATTATCAATCAATTTTATCACCAACTTTCATTATATAATCAAAATTATTAACCATCATCACCAATCACTTTTACCGTTGCTTATAACCATACAACCATTCTATTAGACTTTGACTATACCTCCACCAACCATTACGGCCAATCATCTTCACCAACCACGACTATCACTAATTATCACTGTACATCAAGACGAGCCAAATTCTAATGTTACGTCTCCCGAGAAATTTATAAAAAAGGAGGGGAAGAAGAAGGGGGTGTATTGGGGGGGGGGGCATATTTACTTGAACTTAAAAAATATTCAGGACCAAATGAACACTTGGACTCCTCAAAAATTTGATACACCATGAATCTTTTTTCAGTCTATGTGGACACATATAAAGTTATGACAACCTTCTAATTAGATAACCATATCCAATATAACCAATAAAAATCAGCCACATACAACAAAACAAAAATATGCCAACTCCAAATTTCAATTTTCCACCTCTCATTAAACATCCTCTCTTTATCCTCTCAATACAAAATCACATCATATTGACAATACCATACTTCTTTAAACTTTTGTTTTTGTAATTCTTGAGAGCAAAAGGCAAAAGAAATGGCCACTTCTTCAATAGTTTCAATGGCAATGCCACTAACTTACACAACCCAAAACAAGCAACCAATTGTTGAAGCTTTTTTCAAGCCATTGCCAATTAGGCCTTCAAAACAAATTACAACTTCAAAAAAGTTTATAGTCATCAAGGCATCTTCAATTAAGGAAAAGGCAGTGGTAGGGTTGACAACAGGTGTACTCACAGCATCAATGGTTGTACCTGATGTAGCACAAGCTGCTGAGGGTTTGTCACCATCACTCAAGAACTTCTTACTTAGCATTGTGTCTGGTGGAGTTGTGCTTGGTGCTATTATTGGTGCTATTATTGGTGTCTCCAACTTTGATCCTGTTAAGAGAGGTTAAATTTGTGACTTTCTTTAATTGTATCTAATATGATTTTGTGTATGTATTAATTCCTTTTAACTTATTTTTCTGTTTATTCATTTGGTATTTGAAATAGTAAAGTTGTGATAATGTTCTAGTAAATTGGCGCGAAACAATTTACTCTATGTTTAATTTAGATTTGCATTGCATAAGGTAAGGCTCACTAAAAGAAACATTTTATATATGTTGAGTTAAAGAGGAGGTATGTTGGTTAAAATTCGTGCACTTTTAAGTGTATCAATATGATATTTTGTTGTATTCCTTACCTTCTTTTAATTTGTATTAGTTTATGAATTTTTCGACTGATTAACTTTATTTGACCTCAAATTTGTGGGTTCATCTGTAATGACTTAAGTGAAGATACTTATATGACTAATTGAATTTTTTAGCATCCAAATTTTTGCTAACATTTGTAATGACCTAGTAAAGGATGCCTATAGCCTCTACAGAACCTACACCGCCCTTTTTTTTTTTTTACCGTTTAGAAGATGCAAATTAGAAATTCAATTTTTAAAATTTTTTCGTGTGTATTAGTCAATGGTTTTTTTTTTTGGAAATATAACTTATTGAATCTTTTTGCCCCAAAATTTTTAACACCATCATCCGCAAGGACCTAGTGAACGAATGCTACAACCTCTATAATATTCTCACCATTTTTTTAGCATTTTGGGATCACAAAACACTAATTTAGGTTTTTCTCAGTTTTTATGTGTATTAGCCCATAATTTTTTGGAAATATGACTAATCAGATTTTTTAGCATCCAAATATTTTGCTAGCATCCGTAATGACCTAGTGAACGACGCTTATAGCCTTTATAGGATATACACCACTTTCTTAGCATTTCAAGACCATGAGATAGGAACTCAAAATTTTCTTAGTTTTTCGTGTGTATTAGTCCATGAATATTCATAAATGGATAAATGATTTTGTGCCCCCAATTTATTCGTACCATCAACGATGACCTAGTGAACGATACCCATAGCCTCTACAGGATCTACATCACACTTTTAGCATTTTTCGTGAATTAGGTGATTTTCTCTATTTTTCCTGTGTGTTAGTACATGATTTTTTGGTGATATGAATTTTAGACACTTTTTTTTGCAAAAACTTTACGGGACCCTCCGTATTCCTTAATGACCTAGAGGAACATTACCTATAGCCTTACCATGATCCGCACCACTTTTTTTTAGCATTTAGGGGTCCACTCAACAGGAATTAGACAATTTTCTCAATTTTTTTTTGTGTGTGTTAGTATATGATTTTTTTGGTGATATGTATTTCAGACATTTTTTTTGGAAAAAACCTTTACATGACCCTCCGTAATGACCTAGGAGAATAATACCTATAGCCTCACCATGATCCAGTCCTCCTTTTTAGCATTTAGGGGATACTCAACAAGAATTAAACGATTTTCTCAATTTTTCGTGTTTGTTAGTACATGAAATTTGAAAAATATGGATTTCGGTAAAAAAACCACCAGACGCATATCACCCAAACTCCATTGAGTATAACACATGAAAAATTGAAAAATTCCTATTTCCCATACCGGGCCTCGTTTGAACTAGAAAATGTCGACGTTTGCCCATTCGAACCAGTGCACACCATTAAATAGGTCGTCACGATGCCCACAAAAATTTTTAGCCAAAAAGTCGTCGGGATCACATATCACCCAAAATTCATGGACAATTACACACGAAGAATGGACAAATTAATATTTCTCGTTTCATGCCTCGTTTGAACTTGAGAATGCCGATGTTTGCCTTCCGAACCAATGCACACCATTAAATAGATCGTTATGGACGTCTACAAAAAGGTTTAAACAAAAAAACGTTGGGCGCACATGTTACCCAAAATTCATAGACTATAACACACGAAAAATAAGAAAATTCATATTCCTATTCCGGACCTCGTTTGAACTTCAAAATGTCGATGTTTGCCCCTCTGAACCATGAATCTAGCGATTTGGAGAACTCCATTTTTTTTTCCAAAAAAAAACTTTATAACGACCTCTGTAATGAGTTGGTGAAGCGGTATGTACATTCCCATCGTTTTTTCAGACATTTTCTCATTTACAAATCACTATTAGGAATTATGCGATATTTTTGGTTTTTCGTGTGTTAATTAGCCCATGATCTGACGATTTAAGGACCCAAATTTTATTTCTTAAAGATATTTATTAGGACCTCCATAACGAGTAGGGGAAGTGTTACGTACAATCCTATCATTTTTTCAAGCATATTCTGCATTTACAATCCAACTTTTAGGAATTACGTGACTTTCTTGTTTTTTCTTGTGTACTAGCCCATGAATCCATCGTAACAAATGTCCATTAAAAATTTCGACCAAACAAAAGTTAGGATCACGTATCACCAAAAATTCATGGACTATGCACAAAAAAATGGTAAATTCGATTTTTCACGCATTGTGGTTTTTTTGAACTCGAAAATGTGTTTGTTTGCCCCTCATGACAAACTGATTCCATTAATAAGGTCACTACGGAAGTCCATAAAATTTTTTGGTAAAAAACAAGTCAGGATCACGTATCACCAAAAATCATGGACTATAGCACACAAAAACGGTAAATTTATCTTTCCCGCATTGGGGCTCTTTCGAATTTGAAAATGTGTCTGTTTACCCTTCGGGACCAACTGACTCTATTAATAAGATCTTAACGGACATCCATAAATTTTTTTGGCCAAAAATAAATCGGGATCACATATCATTAAAAATCCATGACTACAACACACGAAAAATGATAAATTTGGTCTTTTATGCATTGGGCTCTTTTGAACTTGAAAATGCATCCATTTGACCCTCAGAAAAACCTGACACCATTAATAAAGTCGTCGGACGTCCATACAAAAATTTATCCAAAAACAAGTTGGGATCACATATCACCAAAAATCTATGGACTATAGCCCACAAAAAATGGAAAATTCGGTCTTTCCCATATTGGGGTTCTTTTGAACTTGAAAATGTGTTAGTTTGCCCCTCGGGGCCAACTGAATCTATTAATAAGGTCGTAATGGACGTCTATAAAAAATTTCAGTAAAAATTAAGTCGGGATCACGTATCACCATAAATTCATGGACCATAGTACACGATAAAGGGTAAATTAAGTGTTTCCTACACTGTGGATCTTTTGAACTTGAAAATGTGTCTGTTTTCCCCTTGTGACCAATTGACTCTATTAATAGGGTTGTAACATATGTCCATAAATAATTTCGGCAAAAACAAGTCGGAATCACGTCTCACAAAAAATTTATGGACTAATACACACAAAAATTTGAGAAATTTGGGTAATTCCTAAAAAAAGACTTGTAAATGCGGAAATAAGTGATTAAAAAATGATGTGAGTATACGTACTGGTTCCCCAACTCATTACGGAGGCCCTCATAAAGTTTTTTCAAATTTTTTTTAGAGCGCTCCGAGGTGCCAGATCCATGTGCTAATACACACGAAAAATCGAGGAATTTGGGTAATTCCTAAAAAAGAGCTTGTAAATGCGAAAATAGGTATTAAAAATGGTGTGAGTATACGTAGTAGTTCCCCAACTCATTGCAAGGTCCTCATAAAGTTTTTTTTTAAAAAAAATTGGGTACTCCGAGGCTCCAGATCCATGGGCTAATACACACGAAATATCAAGAAATTTGGGTAATTTCTAAAAAAGACTTGTAAATGCAAAAATAAGCGTTAAAAAATTGTGTGATTATACGTGGTAGTTCCCCAACTTATAAAAGAGGTCCTCATAAATTTTTTTCAATTTTTTTTTTGAATGCCCCCAGGTGCCAGATCCATATGCTAATTAATACACACGAAAAATTAAAGAATTTGGGTAATTCCTAAAAATGGGTTTGTAAATGTAGAAATAAACCTTAAAAATGGTGTGAGTATATGTGGTGGTTCCCCAACTCATTATGGAGGTGCTCATAATTTTATTTTTTAAAAAAATTATTGGATGCTCCGATGCGCCAAATCTATGGGCATTAACACACAAAAAATCGAGGAATTTGAGTAATTTCTAAAAAAAGGTTTGTAAATGCAGAAATAGGCTTTAAAAATGACATGAATATACATGGTGGTTCCACAACTCATCATGGAGGTCTTCATAAGTTTTTTTTAAAAAAATATTAGGGTGCTCGCAGGCGCCAGATCCATGGGGTAATACACACGAAGAATTGTGAAATTTGGGTAATTTCTAAAAAAAGACTTGTAAATACGAAAATAGGTCTTAAAAAATGGTGTGAGTATACGTAGTGATTTCCTAACTCATTACAGAGGTCCTCATAAAAATTTTACAAAATTTTTTTGGGTGCTCGAAGGCGCTAGATCCATGGGCTAATACACATAAAAAATCAAGGAATTTGGGTAATTCCTAAAAAAAAGCCTTGTAAATGTGGAAATAGACATTAAAAAAATTGTGTGAATATATGTGGTGGTTCCCAAACTCATTACGAAGGTCCTCATCAAGCTTTTTCAAATTTTTTTAAGGTGCTCCGAGGTGCTAGATCCATGGGCTAATAAACACGAAAAATTCAAAAAAATTGGTTAATTATTAAAAATGGCTTGTAAGTGCTGAAATATGCATTAAAAAATGGTGTAAGTATACGTGGTGGTTCCCAACTTATTACAGAGGTCCTCATAAAGTTTTTTCAAAAAAAAAATTTGGTGCTCCAAGGCGCCTGATCTCTAGGCTAATACAAGCGAAAATTGAGAAATTTAGGTAATTTCTAAAAAAGGCTTGTAAATGCAGAAATAAGCGTTAAAAATGATGTGAGTATATGTGGTGGTTGAACATCAACTCATTACGAAGATCCTCATAAAAATATTTTTTAAAAAAATTAAAATACTCCGAGGCGCCAGATCCATGTGCTAATATAAAAATGAAAAATCGAGAAATTTATGTAATTTCTAAAAAAGAGCTTGTAAATGCGAAAATAAGCATTAAACAAATTATGTAAGTATACGTGGTGGTTCTCTAACTCATTACGGATGTGGTTTTAATAAAAAGTTTTGGATACTCCAAGGCGCGACTTAAGTTGCCACTAATACAGTCTTTTAGTGGCGACCTAGGTTGCCACTAACACATTCTTTTAGTGGCGACATATTTTTTTTTGGTGGCGACCTAGTTACCTCTAATAATGTCTTTTAGTGGCGATATATGTTTTTTTTGTGGCGACCGAAGTTGCCACTAACACATTCTTTTAGTGGCGACATATTTTTTTTTGGTGGCGACCTTAGTTACCTCTAATAATGTCCTTTAGTGGCGATATATGTTTTTTTTGTGGCGACGTAAGTTGCCACTAATACCGTCTTTTAGTGGCGACATATTTTTCTTTTTTGTGGCGACTTAAGTTGCCACTAATACTGTTCTTTAGTGGCGACATATTTTTTATTTTTTTGTGGCTACCTAAGTTGCCACTAATACCGTCTTTTAGTGGCGACATATTTTTCTTTTTGTGGCGACTTAAGTTGCCACTAATACTGTCTTTTAGTGGCGACATATTTTTCTTTTTGTGGCGACTTAAGTTGCCACTAATACTGTCTTTTAGTGGCGACATATTTTTCTTTTTGTGGCGACTTAAGTTGCCACTAATACTGTCTTTTAGTGGCGACATATTTTTCTTTTTGTGGCGACTTAAGTTGCCACTAATACTGTCTTTTAGTGGCGACATATTTTTCTTTTTGTGGCGACTTAAGTTGCCACTAATACTGTCTTTTAGTGGGGACATATATTTCTTTTTGTTGCGACTTAAGTTGCTACTAATTTGGATAATTTCTAAAGAAGAGCTTGTAAATGTAGAAATAGACGTTTAAAAATGGTGTGAATATACGTGGTGGTCCTCAACTCATTATGTAGGCTCTCATGAAATGTTTTCAAAAAAACATTTTGGTGCTCGAGAAATTTGAGTAATTATTAAAAAAATGCTTTTAAATGCGGAAATAGACATTAAAAATGATGTGAGTAAACGTAGTGGTTCCCAAACTCATTACGGAGGTCCTCATAAAATTTTTAGCACATGAAAAATGGTAAATTTGGTCTTTCCCGCATTGGGACTCTTTTCAACTTGAAAATGCATCTGTTAACCCCTTGCATGAAGATGTGGCTTGTCCTTCCGACCTCTGTCCTTGTCTTGTTCATTTCTGTGTCTTTCAATTTATTATTTATTTTTTAATTTCAATAAAATGATGCTACACATTGGAAAAAAAAATGTTTGCAAACATTACTTAAGGTTTCAATATAAAATGATATGCAGAAATTGCTAATGAAATCTGAAACTGAAAAAGAGCTAGATTCAATTACGAAGAAGTATGATTTGTAGCTTCAAATTGTTGAAATGGAATTAGCTCAAAATAAAAAAGATCTTGATACAATCTACAACAACGTGCATGTGCATAAGTTATGCTTTAATATATTGTCAAAATTTTACATTTCTTTGAACTAGTTAGTTATATAAAAATCATTCATTAACTACCAATAAAGAACTAGGAAATTCTGAACTTTTCCCTTCTATTCAATCATATACTAACGATTACTTAACACAAATAAAGAAACCTATGAATGAGAGGGGGAGAAAAACATTTGAATGATCTCGAATTAAAAAGACGAAACAACATGTATAGGACAGTGAAACAAATTCTTATTTAGTACTACACGGAGATCTGCAGATAAAATTGTCACCGTACTGCTTCGCAACTGAAGGAGCTTGTGATTGAAACATTTTATGCAGGTGGATATTATATGCTGCAGTGAAAAGTTGAATGGAGATACGACACTCAAGGAATTCGACTTATATGGATGTCACACCTTCCTAATTCTGCGAGGGAAAAGGTAAAATGGGACTTGAAAGATGATGTGATTGAGCTAGGGTACATCAAAATTCAGAAGCGAGAAGCCTGAAACTCCCCAAAAGAAATAAGAAGTGTGGCTTCTGGCTATCTGGTTTAAATGCAATGAACTTCCTATCTCACAACAGACTTAAAGACTATCAAAAGACAATTTATTGTACTTGCATAATAATAGCCATAGAGCTATTAGTCCTCATTTCTACTTTATTATCAGCAAACAATCTATACTTTGGACCTGTATTCTCTAGTTTTCTATCAAATATTATGATATGGACTTCTATATACTCTATCATCTGGTTGCACTGGCTACTTCATTTTTGTATCTCTCACCAATACGCAATATATAATGAGCAGGTTTTTCAGAATGCATCTTGCATAGGTGTGTTTTTTTAGAAAGTCTGATTGACTTTCACTAATTTATATTCCTCTACAGGCAGATGGAAGTAAGGCTGTTTGATACTATTTTGCCTATCAGATTTCATGATAAATGTTGATACCACTCCAATTCAGTCTTTTTTCAGCCCATCAATTAGTGTTTGACATAGAGTTAGTGAATTTAAGAGTCAGTTCACGCACAAACAATCAAATCAAATCTTGATTATTTATGTATCAACATAATAACATTCTTCTAGTAATTCAAACGCTAGTTCAGTCATATTTATTATAGTGCTCCCTAAACCCCCAATAAAGAATGACTTACTTACCTTCTCACTTCGTCATTAAAAAAAATTGACAATCTTCCTTGACGCTAGTTTAGTCATATATCTCTCCCTCCTTATTCATACAAGATATGTTTGGATTGTCCCAAAATGTTCACTTTATTAATAGAAACTATTCTCACTAGCTTTTTATTTTTGATATTATACATGTTCCCACTGGAGTAATTATTATTTTTATATTTGAGATTCAAGTTTTTTTTTCTTAAATTTAAAGTTGTGAGGCTCAAAGGCCTCCTTTAATAAAACAAAAATTATGTACAACATGCTAGGTCCAACAAAGACAAAGCAACAAAATAAATAAATCTTAGATTGGAGTTATTTCTTTCTTTTTAATAATTTTTTTTTGTTTTTTTATGATCTTAAACTAAAAGATATATATATACCAAATATGAATCTTGTGGTCTTAAACATATCATGTGGAAGTTAAATTTAAAAATTGATCTATAAAAAAAATATTCTTTAATATTTCCAAACAAATTAAAACATTCTTTATCTTTTTTGTTAAAAAAAGCTTAAGATTATTTTATTATTACTAAAAAATTAGGCCCTTCAATTTTGAAGGCCTAAGACATATGCCTCATTTTTAAAGGCATTGAGTCATCCCTAATAGAAATGCAAAAGGTATAAAAAATCTAAATACTAAAGTGTGATGACTGAAAATTTGAGATGATGCACAAGAAAATGTGGATCATCATACATGAATGAGTATTAAAACCAAACTTCAGAGAGAGATAACATATGCATGATACCTCTTTGCAGGGAAAAAAGAGTAATTAGAGAGTTAATTCGTCTATGTGGCAGTGAGAGCTGTTTGACGTGCAATGTGGAGTTCATGTGGTATTCATGTGGCATCCATGTGACATTTAACACACACATGAATACTTCTGTTAATTAGAAGGGTAAGTTTCCTAATAGTTTGATGGGAAGGATATTTTTGAGCCGAAATTTAGTTTAAGAGTATATTTAAGTTATTTCGAATAGTTTAAGGGTAGTTTTGACCATTTTCCGTACTTTTTATGACTTTTGACAAATTATATTGTATAGTTAATGCATATCTCTTATCATTTTTATGTAAATAAAAAATGACTATATTTGTTATGAATTAATAATTATTTTATATATTTAAAACTAAAACCCTTTTTATAAATTCTTAATTTTAAATTTACTCACTTAAATTTAGTATCAAATTAAAACAATAGAATTCAATTGAAACAGTGAATATCCAGCAAATTTGTGTACTGAATTCACACTGCTTCTCTCCCCGTTCCAGTTATCCTCAAGGTACGTACTTGCTGTATTTCGAGCTATATCCCCCATACACAAAACCCCTTTTTTGTGTAACCCTTCTCCCTTATATCTGTTATATTTTCCTCCTAGCATCAAGATTTGATGAAAAAGTATGAATTAATACATAAAGAAATCATTTTTATGTGTGAAGATTTGTTTTTTTAAGGTAGTTTAGCAGTTGGCTATTGCTGTTTGAATTGATTCTTGACATATAAAGTTTGATGAACAAGTTTAAATAGGAGTATAGAATATCATTTGTATGTGTAGAAATTTGATTTTGAGGTGTTTGGTCTTTGACCCATTTGCAGTTTGGACTTTGGATTGATTCTTGGCCTTAAAATTTGATGAACAAGTATGAATTGATATTGTGAGGGAAAAATCATTTTTATGTGTAAAGATTTGATTTTTAGGTGTTTGGTCTTTGACCCATTTGCAGTTTGGACTTTGGATTGATTCTTGGCCTTTAAATTTGATGAGCAAGTATGAATTGATATTGTGGGGGGGGGGGGGATCATTTTTATGTGTAAAGATTTGATGGTGTTTGGTCCTTGCCCATTTGAAGTTTGAATTGGTTCTGACTTAAATTCGATTAAAGCAAGTATGACTTGATGTATAGAGAAATCACTTTTATGTGTTAAGATTTGATTTTGTGGCATTGGGCTGCTGACCTGGTTGCAGTTTGATTTGATTCTGGCATTAAGTTTGATGAACTAGTACGAATTAACATATAAAGAAATCATTTTAATTTGTACCAATTTGATTTTGAGGTGGTTGTTTGTTTGATCCATTTGCAGTTTGAGTTGATTCTCGGGTCCAAGAATGGAGGAGGGTGGTCTGAGTCAAAGTGGAGAAGAACCCAAATCATGGGATGAGCTTTACAATGTCAATCTGATGCCTTCGGAGATTTTTCTCAAGTTCAGAAAAGAAATTGAGGGCTATCGAGTTGGTGTTAACTTGGAGGTACTAATTTCTGACTAACCATCTATATTAAGTTATCAACAACAAACCCAATGTAATCCCACAAGTGGGGTCTGGGGAGGGTAGAGTGTACGCACTGACATCTATATCGTTAGTGATATATGAATAAACTAAGTCTCAGTCCCAAACCAATTAGGGTTGATTATATGAATATGGTCTTCCTTGATGCTTCCTTTGTTAATTAGTTTAGTGGGACTATTGTATTAAAAAGTTTCAAGACGTTTTGGGTTACTTTCAGCTTAACTCGGGTAATTGCACTTGTTAGTATGAGTTAATACAAGTGAGCAGTCCTCTTTTCCTTGGATGGAGATGGAGCAATTTACTTTTGCAAACAGAGTAAGTGTTTATGTCATAGTTATTCAACAATTAACTGTCTCCAAAGTTGCGATCGGCTATATGAATCCTCACTTGTATTACTCGATTTAAGCTTTTGCAAATAGTGTAAGTGTTGAATTGTTGCGATCGGCTATATGAATCCTCACTTGCCATGTCACTCCGATTTAAGCTTATCTCAGTGCTTTAGCATGAAAAAACATGTTTTATATTGTGAGGAATTATCAAAAATTGACTTGTTTTGTGTTGACTATCAACCTATCGCAACTCTTCATGCAAGTTTGAGACTGGCAATATGAGCAAACTCAAATATATAGAGTTTGCTAATGTTAATGATTGGATACTTTACACATAATCTGTTGTGAGATGGTTGTTGGGTGATATGCGATCTGCTTCTTTCCAGACAATTCGTTAGTATAAAAGTTAATGCACAATACTGAAATCTGAATTGACACAATACGCAAAATTACTGCAGTAACACTGTAGTTGTTGCTGAAATCACCTGAAAGGATATTGAGAGCAAGCATTTTAACTTTGTGTCTATGTTGGGTATTTCTGGTTTTAAGTTTTAACTCTTCTTTTATGATGCCTTTTGACTAGTTTTACAATGCCCCATACAATGAATATCTGGCTAAGCTGGTCTTAAAACCTTTAGCCCCTGAGCGGAGATGGAAGTTCATATATGAGCCTTTGCATCATGAAGTCCGCCTTCTTTCCAAGAAGATCCCGGTGACAAAATTTCTAAATCTTCAGGTTGAACTTTTTCAGCTTCTTCCCTACACTGTACTATTTCCGTTTCTTATCAGCATAAAAGTTATAGGGTAACCGTTTGAACTTATACAGGTTGGTGTAGGCCATAGCTTTCAGTTGCAGGCAACTGGTTGGAAATGGAAGCTCACGACTTGTTTCGGCGGAGATGGTATCTCCAGTATCCGGAATAAAACATCTCTTGGATTATGTCCTGGTGTGGATTTCCGTTTTGGATGGAAAGCAGATTATGTATTTCCAGAAGTTACTGGGCAAGTTACTTTATCCTCATTTGCGCTTCACTTCAAAGAAATTACCGGCTTCTTATACCTGTAACAATATCTTGTAAGAAATAAAACTGACTGAAACTTGGTGGCGCTTTTACTTAACATGAAATTTGGGTTCCTTTTTCAGGGCTTTAGGCACTGGTGAACCATTGTTCAATATGAATTCTGGACGACTACAAGCGTCGCTGGATAGAGTGGAGGCCATCTTTTCCCAATAAGCACAGTCCATTCTTGGTATAGTCCCTGCTTATGCCTTCTAATTCTGTTGAACTTGGGTGTCACTCAATCTTCCTTCAAAATCATTCGGTGGTCTTTCATTTATCTGAATACTATCATATGAGGATTGCACAATAGAGCTGTCTCATCTTACTTTGCACGTAAATCATGCATCTGCCTCGGAAAACATAAATCACGTTGAGATTTTCATTTATAGAGTTTTAGACACCTCAAGGGACTTCATTATTCATCAACGAAGTTGCTCCTTTCATGTTCTTTCCTCGGAAGCCACACTTTTATGATATCAGTTTTTGCTTTGTACTTCTTTTGGGAGATGGGGGATGGGCAGTCGAATGGAGGAGAACGGAACACAAATATGTTCGGGGTTTTAACATACTGTTGAATGTCCTATTAAGAGTTGGCAAGGGAGAAGACTACTCTCTTGAATGTCTCCTTTCTACAGTACTGATCCCCTTTAGTTGTTTGTTTCGACTTGGTTGATTGTCTCGTTTTTCACTGAAATTACTTCATTATTACTGAACCTGTGCATATAATCAGTAAGACCATTCTGGAAACTGGAAGGGGACTTGCTGCCACTTTTTAGACCTTAGGAGCCGAGTTTTTATAACTTTACGCGGTCCACTAGGTTATGGTCCTAAACTAGTTAAAAATAGTAGCAGAGCACTGTTTTGTTAGAACTGTATAATAGCATCAGGTGCATAATTTTGAACTTAATTGGTGGAGTGTTCAAGAGTAGTCGACACAATACCACATTTCACCAAGGAGTTTCTAACGAGCATGTAGGAAAGAAGTAGATAGCTCATAAAATGGAAGATATGATCAATCACTGTGAGTTGTACAGCCAAGATTGTAAATCATAATGGGTCATCTTTGACGGGGATGTTTTGTTAAATGATGCTCGTGCTGAAAGTTTGATTATCTCGAGTTCTACCTTTACTTAGTCTGTTTGCTGTAACATAGGATGCTATCATCAGGTTCTATCTTGAGAACACACTGAATGTACAGTAATGTTGAAGACATCGTAATTACAACAACAAACCCAGTGTTATCGCGTAAGTGGGGTCTGGGGAGGCTAGAGTACATGCACCTTACCTGTTTGTTTCTATAAACCCAGTGTAATCCCATAAGTGGGGTCTAGGGAGGCTAGAGTATATGCAGACCTTACTTGTTTGTTTCTATATATATCTCGTGTTTGATTTATAGGGACATGTAAATAGACTGAAATCGAATTTATCTTCATTTGACAATAATACATTTGGTTTATCTTGTGTTTCATTTGTAGGACATGTTATTGATGCTATTGACATTTCCCAACAAATTATCGACCTCCTAAAAAATGTTGAAGAAATGAGCTAGGGAGAGTTGGCTGACCACAGTTGCGGAAGAGTACCAAAGGAAGGAGGCAGAGGCGGAACTAGGATTTTAGGCTCATGGCACATATTTCTTATTCTTCTTGCTAGATCTAAGAAGTTTATCACCACATTAGTTTTGAGGTGTGATGACCCGAGTGATGACCCGGAAGGTCATTTTTGGAAATTTTGAACTATTCGTTTAACTTGAGTTAATTAATCGATAGTTAGTGGACTAAAGTGATCATTTATTTAAGACCCTATACCATTAGGGCCATGTGTTAAAAATTTAAGTTAGTGGATTTTGTCAGTTTTAATAAACAATTAAATTAGAAATAAAGAAGAGTCAGAAAACACAGAAGAGAAAGGAAGAGGAATAACCTAACCTAGCCGCGACATCGATCAAAGAGGAAACAAAGAGTTGCAGATACACGATTCGGCCATCTTCAATTCTTGGTAGGCATACAATAATTACTTTATATAAAAATAAGGATAGTTGCTGGCATATTACATTATAATAATGTTGGTTTGGTACAGTGCTAGCACTATGGTTATAATTATTAATTGTTACCAAATTGTTGGTTATTAAGATGTGATGATTGGCAATGATTGCCATTGAAATCATTATAGTATCATTTTAGACGGTTACTGGGTTTAAGACATTAGGGATTTTTATATGTATATATATGTGCGTATTCAATACATACATGCGAAGATAAATTTCTTTCCATTCTGGTACAAAGATAGGCATATATTATTTACGTATGTTTGTGGACTAGAGGGCATTGATTAAATTATGGTTGACGGATGAACAGTACTAAGATGTAAGATATGTTTATCTGTGGGTTAATATTTTTAATTCATTAAGAGTTAGATGGGATATTGAGGTAAATTGCTGTATGTTTGTTAAAATGGGTTGTGAGTTTGTTTTGGAAATTAATAGGAATGGTGGGCCAAGGATTGACCATAATGAGCTAATCATTGGTTGGAATAAAAGGGTGTCAAAGGAAAAGTTACTGTTCCTAAATCAATTCGGTTAAATTTTATATTGTGGTTATTATATTATGATTCAAGTGTTGATAGGTTGGTATGTGTAATTAAATACCATATGTATGGTACTAAGTGAATATCATTTGAAATATGATATTGGAAAGGAAATAATTGGAATCTAATCCAAGACTTGAAACTTGGAAAACTATGATAGTGAAATGTTAATTGGCATCAAGAGTTACGAACTTGATTATAAAGTCTAGCG